CTGTAATCCACGAAAGCTTATGCTCTAATAAATTTGTTAGTCTCTAAGGTGCCACAAGTACTCCTGTTCTTCTTTTTGCGGATACAGACTCACACGGCTGTTCCTCTGAAACCTGTCAAAAGAAAAATGGAGGCAAAGAGATGAGGTCATTGAGTCAGGAAAGTACTTAAACTTGTGTTTAACTTTAAGAACATGCTTAAGTCCCATTGACTTCAATAGAATTTTAAACACAGGCAAATAACTTGGCAAAGTTCACTCAGGATCTGCTGAATCCTAGTCCAGTGCCTTAACCACAAGGCCATTCTTCCTCTGCAGGGCAGTATGGCTGTGGTACAGTAATTTCACAGGTATGTAACATCTTGTAAGATTTACCTGGAAAGTGTGCAATATCACCATTTCCACACATTGAATAAACTGAGATACTGTAGTAAATCTCAAAAGATCTGATACGCATTTCTGTGATACATTTACAATTACTTTTTGTCACCACTTCACCTCCTGCATGACATGTAACCAGGTTTAGCTGTCTTTCTGGAGTTAATGTTTGACAAAATATTTCATCGTAAAGTACTAGCTCCAAGGTAACAGTCATAAGCAAAACTATTACATTGTTGAAGAGTTACAAGAAAATGATGAAAGGAGAAAGGAAAGACATGGCAGATACTATCACACTATGTAGAAATATTCCACAGAAAGAGGAATGGGCAAGAGTGACAAATGGACACAGAGGATTAACCCCCCCCCACCCTCCAACATACTGTTCAGCCCTATTCTAGACGGACACCTGATGTGCTGTATTTACCTATAACAAAGATTTAAAGCTTCTGTCCTTTTTTCATGTTTGCAGCACTCGTATAGTTCATTGTGCCACCAAATTATTTTGAACTGAGCTGAGTTTGATAACGATCTTTGTTGAAATTCTGTCCCCACTGAAGTCATTCAAAATTTTGAAATGATTGAATTCCTCAAGAATATACTATATTGATGACTGAGTGGTGGACACAAAAGGTCCTAATAAAGAACATGACCCCTGAGTCACTCCCTAGGCTCCTCGCAGCACAGTTCCCTTAAAAGCCATGGTGCTATTTGCTGCCACCTTCACACAACTTCCCCTCCACAGGAGTAGATATTCAGCAGAAGTCAATGAGCAGAAGTTAACATTTCTTGGAGGAGAACTACTCAAACAGCACAGGGCAACCAAGAACCAGCTCAGGAGTATAGCTGGGTGACATTTTTCAGTCAAATGGGAAATTTGACAAAAAATCTGGTTCCAGGGCAACTAAAGCTACTCATAAATTTGAGCCAAATTAGGCAGATAGTTTCAGCTGAATAAAAAAAAATGAGGAAAACAATTTCAAAAATATTGAAACAGTTTCAATTTTTAAAAGCAATCAGAATGACATTTGAAATATGTCATTCAACCCCAATGATTTTTTCCCCATTTTTTGCTGAAAGAAAAAAACAGAATTCAACTTTGGTTCAACAACTGTTTTTTGGGGGGATTTTTTTGGTTCTGCTGCTAAATGAAAATATCAATTGCTTGCTCAGCTCTAGTCCTGAGGAGGCCTGTGGCTCACACCCCACTGGCTGAGAACAGCAAAATCTCCTTGTTGGAAAGTCCCAGTGGGAACCTGGGTAAAAGAAGGAAGGATCAGCTTGCTTGTTCCTCTTGCTCCTACTACTTACCCCTTTACATTCACACTCCTGCCCAGCATCCAAACCAGCAGCAGCTCTGTCAGCTTCCCATCCTCCTCCCCACCTACACAGGCCTCAGTTAGAAGAGACCATAAGGGCTGCTTGCAGGGATTTTGGAGCCATAGATCACTGTTTCTGACATCTCCAAACTAAGCATTGTGCAAGCAGGGAAGGAGAGGGGAAAGCCTTACCCTCCCACATGCAAAGGTTTATGGAATTTGACTTGCCAAATGTTTTTTCTGCCATTTTGTGGGTCATAAATTAAAAGTTCTCCAGCTGAGTGCTACTGGCTGAGAAAAGTATTAACTTCTGCCGGACCAATATTCTGCAGCATGCTACACCGACCCACTGTTCCTCACCTGTACCCAAGCACTAACCAACAGAGCTTCAGCCATGCACAGTGACTACATTGACACAACCAATAGTAGTAAGTACAGATGTAATTCAAACCAAAAAATCAGCAGAGTAGATACATGTTTGTCTTTTCATTTATAGGAAGACCTGTAACTTTTTTGTCATTTGTGGCTCTGCATGTCAAGTTAAAGTAAAATCGGTTGTGACCTCGACTAAATGTCTTATCTTTCTCAGGCAAAAACATTGTTAATGGCAACAGTATGTGAATGTCAATAACCATTCTGTATGGAGATGAATCAGAAGCACCTCTAATCTCATCTGATCATTGTGCAGAGTAATGCAGTTATTTTCCTCATATCTGTGTCTCCAAACGGTCTTGCGTTCACTCATCACTGTATGCTGTCAACTGTAATTCTTATTGGCAATTGATATTTTTAAAGAACAGTATGACTACATTATAAATAACAGAGTCCTTATCACTTCCCATGAGTTCAGCATGGCCATGGGCAGGCTGGACTTCAAGATATACATATAGACAATTATTATGCAGAGGGATTATAAACGCTGGCAGACTCTCAATTAAAGCCATTCCATTGTGAGCCACGGTGATAAAACAACCTAAGATTTGCACAATAAAGGAATAATTATCCATTTACCTCTTATTGTATAGTGTTGCCTACATTTGTTCCTAGTGTTTTATGGAATCTACTGTGGAATTATATACTGTGCTCATTTTAAAATATTGAAATAAGACTTGTCATGTAACTACAATGTTTTAGCAAAATGAAGTTACTCCAGGCAGCTGTGATTACAGCATAATCGGAGCCACTTAAAGCGATGCCAGATGGTTGTGTGCAACATCGCACTATTATGAGAAAACAAATGCTCTATTTTAAACAGCAAAAATAGTTTATAGTATGATCTAAAGTTGGTAATGGAAAGAAAGAACATCCTCATTTGTCAGGATCCTGGTGAGACTGGCAGTTCTATGCAGCAACAACATTATAGGGATGAATAAATAGCCAGGAAATTTGGCTTGTATCGCATGGAAGCTTACAGATGGTGGATGAATTCACGTCTATCATGTTTTTTCCAATGCACTGACTTTTACATATTGCTGCCAGCTGGAACATAGTTTTGAAACTAGAATATAAATCACCTTCAATATGTTCCCAGCATTTGAAATAAAAACAAATTTTGAAGCAGGTAGGGGAAGGTAATTCAGATTGAAGGAAATCTTATGGGACCTAAATTAAAACCTAATGGGCTGAATTGTTCATCGGTGTGAGTTAAATGGCTTATACCACAGATAAGTTTAGCCCCTGTGTATTTTCCCCCCTTGAGTAAAGAAAAACATACCGTGCAAAAGTTGATACACAAATGATATCTAATCTACCAAATACCCTGCCATTTTATAAGTAAGGTAGTTTGGAAAAGCTTTTGCATTAAAACGTATCCTCACTAGAATATGAAACATCTCTCACAAAAGATTAAACCATGCATAAAATAAAGAGCATGAAGCACAAATGCATTATTCATTTTATGTGTTGATATGATGGAAGCATCCAGAGGCCTGGATCAGGATGCCTGTGTGTTAGGATGATGTGCAAACACAAAGGTAGACATGATCCCTGCTCTAATGGACTTACAAGGAAAAATGTATTTCCGTTTTTAAAAATATATAAAAATAACATTTACTTTTTACGTGCAGACATGCATAAAGAACTCACCTGACCTTTCTATATTTCAAGCTCTGTTTCTCTAAATCTGGTAGGTACTACTAAGAAGCAAATAATCCTGATAGTGATGAAGTGGACTGTATAGCTGGGGCGAAAATGATTTCCCTTTCAAAGAGTTTTCAAAAAGTCTGCTTTTATGATAGACTGAGTTGACTTCCCTGAGGAAATCTCAAGCATTGTTTATGAATGGATAATTCTATGCTTAAACCTATAAGACATTTTACAGTAGCTATGATCAAATATGATTTGGAAATCCACTGACCCACTTTGATCTATACTTACATTGTGCTTTGTGAGGTTGGAAATGTTAGTTGCTATTGCTTGTAGCCAGTCCATACAGTCTTCAGCAGAGAGAGACTGAATTATTCCACTGCAAACTCCATCCACAGCAATTACTTGGAATGCATTTTGCCTATAGACATGTCATAACAGATCAGGTCAGAAGAAAAAGTCATATGTTCTAACATATCATCTTAATACCACATGTAGAAAAGCTTTTCTTTCAACCACAATAGTCAACTACTAAACTCTCATCTTATTTGTTATCTCATTTTATATATATCTGACTTTAATTAAAATGAATGTAATAACAGGTCAATCGAGATGATATTTAACTTCTATAGATGGCACAGCTACAAAGATAAGAATGATTGTATAAAAATCTTGAGCAACATTTTCAAACTTGACTATTTAAAGTTAAGTTCCTAAATCCGTATTTAGGCAGTTGATTTAAATTCTTAATATGGATTTAGGAGCCTAACTTTAGACACCCAGGTTTGAAAGTGTTGGCCCTTAGACTGAATGATTACTCAGTTCTGGGAAATTTATGATGCCTCTACATCAGTTATAGAACAATGTTTTTCCCTCAGAATTCCAGTTCATAGAGTTTCCTCCAAACACTTACCCGAATGGCTTCAGAAGCTAAATAAATGAGAATATTTGGTGCATTTTTAAAAGCAATTCAATATCTATACAACTGTATCTGGGATTATTTGGAAGTTTAAAAACTATTATATGAAGTGAAAAAATACAAATGCAAGAAATTCATTATCAAACACTGAAAGCAAGATTTCATGAAATGTCATATAATAAACATTTCATCCCTAAAAGCTTTGATTTTAAAACCATTCTTTAAATGAAGTTAGCTTAGTGTCTAATTGTTCTACGCTGGTTCCTATAGGTGACAGAGTTTTTGTTTAAAATAATCCTGTTCTAAACTACTTATGAAAGGATTGGAGAATTCAAAATTGATCCACAATGATTTTTCTATATTACCTTTCTGCAATATTTGAGCACAAACGGAAGTCTATGATTTACCCATTGACATAAGTGGAAGCCATCCAAGTAACCTAATCTGGTCAGTTATATAATGAGTTGTCATGCATTACAGACTGATTTGCTGCAGTTGAATGCCAGGCAATTGCAAAGCAAGAGAAAAATTTTGTATACTAAGTACTAAGGGACTTAATTTCTTCAGTAAAGAGCCTTTCTGAAATGCAGCCTATAGGAGGCTCCTGGGTCTCTGGCCGAAGGGCCACCGAAGCGGAGCTTGATTCCATCTCCCAGAACAAGAAATTGCAAAGCACATGGAGAATATGTCATCCCACAGTTGGCATTCTGTGACAACTCCATCCTTCAGCACTAAATTCATAGTTCAAAATTAGGCATGTGTCATTCAGGTACTGTGAGAATAGCTCATCCACAATCAGTCATCTTTAAGAGGAGGACTGGGTCTCACTTAATGAAATCAGTTGCTGACATCATAAAAGATTTTGTAAAGATTCTTTCTACTCCTTAAAACTGCATTATAGTTCTGTGGAATGTGCAGCTTCTGTATATCTAACACACTGTGGTTCTCTGTTTTAGTGGGTTAGTAACCCCCATATTTGGGGTGACTGTTGCCTTCATCCACATCTAAGAACAGTGCCAGTCAAAGACATGCCTATTTTCCCTTTAAATGCCCCCATCATAACCTCAAAGGCATGAAGTCTTTCTGAACCAACCAGGGGAAAAAAATGGATAGCAGTTCCTTGAAGGTTTTCTCCTCCTCTATTTAGGTTGGAAAAGGTGGGTGGCTGGGAAGTAGGGATTAGGCATCACCTGAGCAGGTGGACTAGCTGGTGGAGCTCAGGTAAACTACTGGCTCCTGTGCATCCAGGGGAGTTTATATAAGCCCTGTTCCTCAAGCCTGAGCCCCCTTCCCATGGTTGGATTGTTCTGGTCAAAGACACATCTGTTTTCCCTTTAAATACCCCTTCTGACTGAAAGTCAGGTCCCTTATTTCACACAAACTCAGAGACCACTTTCAGGAAAACAGACTCATTCTCTGTTTTGGGCAAAGAATGTTTTTTCAGGACTCCTGGCAAGCAGACAGTCGAGTCCCTTCTTAGCAAGGATTTTTCATCTGGAGAGTCAAAGAGAAGTTCTGACTCTCTTTTAGGCATGGAAAAAATAATCAGAAATTCCTTCTTGACAAGGAAAAAAGGTCCCTTTTCAGCAGGATATTGGGACATACACACACACACACATATATACACGCACACACACACACACACACACAAAATGGTTGGTCACTTGGTTTCAGGGAAGCCAGTTGTGACCCCTTTATCATCAGGGAGTAAATGCAGCTTTTCCTAAGCAAAAAGCCCCCCAAAACAGAAAAAAAACCCACCCAAGCCCTTCTACTGGCTGAAGCTTAATGAGCATCAGATAAAGGACTCTCCTCCAGGCCTGGGCATTTTGAGATGATACAGAATCTCCGCTTTAACCCCAGTGAAAAGTTTGAACCCCTTTGATGTTCATATATATGATCACATGGACACAAATAAATCAAACTCATGGTTTGTGATATATAGAAGAAAAAATCTGATTTGAAATACCCTTTGGTTTGCACCACATTTTTCTATTCTATGGTATAGAAAATATTTAAGAACATTGATTCTGTCTGCCAGTTGATTTCTTGCTGAATTAGTTGCCTGAGTAGAATTCAGGTTTCTGGGCTTCTGCAGCATGAAATTCATGGAAGGTTTTAAATCAATAAGCCACAAGGCATAAGTCTGGCAGCATGCAGCTTTATTTTCAGGTTAAAGTGTTAGTATGTTGCAAATATTGCTGTTTTATTAGCTTATACTTTAATCCATGTTATCAAGGATGTGTGCAAGAATTTGGGTAATCATAAATGTGAGCATGTCTATGAAACTGAATATTTCTGTACAGTAACATTTTTAAGGTGTTATAAAAAAACAATTGAAAGCATGTCAAAGTCTTTTTGAATACTGTCCTGAATTAACCTTCAAATTACATAGAAGGTTCCTCTCCAATACTGTGCATAAAATGGTACATTAGAAGTAGATAAGTGATGATGATTATGGTAATGTATACAATAATGATACTTAGTTAATACTTATATATCATTGTATATTTTCAAAACACAAACAAACTGAGACATAAAAAGGCATCATGTAACACAATTTATTTAGTGAAAACAGGCTTTTAATTACTAATTACATAATGTGTAATGACTCTATTTTTACTTAATACTGTTTTCAATATCCTCTCATTAATATTGCTTTCAATAGCTTCAGTGTTTTCAGTCATCATTAGGAATTTATCTGCACTCCTCTGATAACACGATATTTTGAGACACTGTTGTCTTCCAGAGTAATTTTCATTATTCAGAAGGGCAAGAATCTGCCTTACCCAACACAACTAAAAGTTTTTTTTAAACTTGTCCACCAAAACATATTTTTTTCTCATTGCCAACTCAACTTTCTTCCATGTAAGTTGTGTTGGGTTTATTGTTCAGGTTACATAGTTGATACAGGAGGATACAGGGAGACTGTGCAATTATTCTAGGATGAAAACACATAACATCCTTTTAGTTTGACCTAGACATACTCAAAGTTATTTTCTGGAAATCATGGCCTGGATTTAAATCTCTGATGTACAGTTACTTTCTTAAAAGAAACTGCAGTACCTAAGTATGAACTCCATGAGTCTATGCATGTTAAGCATTTGAAATTAGAACCAAAAGAATAGAATATAATTGTATTTTGTCAGTGTTCAAAATTAAACTTTAAGGCCCCAGATCCAACAACTAGTTACATGCATGCTTAACTTTAACCATGTGAGTAGTCCTCACTGAAGTCAATTCCTTAGGCTTGGTCTACACTAAACCCCCAAATCGAAGTAAGGTACGCAACTTCAGCTACGTGAATAACGTAGCTGAAGTCGACGTACCTTACTTCGAACTTACCGCGGTCCACACCCGGAAGGCAGGCTCCCCCGTCGACTCCGCGTACTCCTCGCGGCGAGCAGGATTACCGGAGTCGACGGGGAGCACTTCTGAGTTCCAGTTTTCGCGTCCAGACAAGACGCGATAAATCGAACCCAGAAGTTCGATTGCCTGCCGCCGAACCAGCGCGGTAAGTATAGACAAGCCCTTAGTTGAGTTTACAGCAAAATAGTGTTCAACTCTGACCAAAGTAATGACATGCCTTCCATTTCCCCAGAGAAGTTTTCTGTCCCCATTTTATTCCCATTTTGAAAATGCTCTTTCTCTCTCTCTCAACATCCATCACTACCTTGTAATGAGTAATCAGGGTATGATGTAGTCCTCATCCTTCCTATACCAAGCAGAAGAACAGTAAATGAAGCTGATGTCAGGAACAGAGTTGGGTCAACTGAAACTGTTGGCAAATTCAGTTGAAATTTGGCAAATTGTTTCAGCCAAAAAAAAAGGGGGGCGGGGGAAATTCCAAGTCAAAACATTTTGACATTTCAAAACAACACATTTCAATTTTTCATTTTGAAATGATTTTTCATTTAAAACAATAAATAAATAAATAAATAAATAAAACCACCTGAAAACAAAGGAAAATATTTTGTTTGACTCAAAACAACCTTTCCCCCCCCCAGATTTTTTGCTTTAGCCAATGAACCAAAAAATTAATTTTTTTGCTCAGTTCTAGTGAGGAATACCAGACAATCATGAAATCTATGTGGTAACTGATTTGTTACCATTGCCATCAGAGTTTTGTATCTTAATTCCTGTGATTCCTAAATGCTTAAGAACAATTTTGTCTTCGTTGGAGGCACAGGTGGCAGACTGAAGTATAGAAATATACTGGGCTAGTGTGCATGTACACAGCTGCCTCCCAGTTACTAGAGTAAAACTCATACTGACACCTATTATAAAATGTCTATTGATGTATGTTGCTGGCAGAATTGAAAGCAATGATATGTAGGTGTTCAGACCATTAAAATGTTGATGTGCTTATTAAGCTTGCTTTATAAGATTCAGGAACAAAAATCAACTAAAATGCAAAATATTTGGAAAGATTTTCAAGTACAGTATGATTATTATTTTTTCAACTTCCTTGCTGATTTCTATTAAAATTGGCTTGAGAGCCATGATCAACAGTAGAATCATTATTAAACTAAACTGTGACAAGTAGTGAGAGGACTGAACAATCAAGTAGCTCTATGGCCCATGACTATGGGGAAATAGATATTTATCTTTTCAGCTGAAGTGCTGATTTACTAAGTTACCATTAAGATTATATCTATCCACAGGCAAGACAAATTTCAAGCATACATACTTATTTACCTGCACAAATCTGATCCTGGGAGGTACTGGGAAAAACGGGAATGAAGGAGCGGGATTAATCGGAGATCACACCATCTCTTCTCCCACCTAAGCCCTGGTGATGTTGGCCATGAGGAACATGATAGCGTATCCTGGAAGAAATTTCAAACACTTCTGATTTTTGGCCTTTATCATAATCATCTACCATAGAGAGAGAGACATTTTTCCTTCAAGTATTTGGTGCCATGTTTTATGTAATAAAATCTTTCCTGAAAATTCTATTTGATCAAGTTTTATATGCTGTGGAGAGATTCCATGCTTCTTTTTTTTTCACTTTTGATTGCAAAACAAAAACTGAAACAAGTATGGTTGGAGGAACTGCGAACAACTGCCAACCCCTCAACCAATACTCTATATTGTAAACTATGGAAATGAATATTACAAGCCTGGGGAAAACAAAAGAACAGAATCAAATGTTACTGAATCATGTTATTGCAATGAATAGCCAAGGAAGGTGTTCAAAATTCAAAGGTAAAAGACAATATTTTGAAGTGTTGAATATAAAAGTAGCTATTCAAAATGCCACAGTTGAGGCTTATCATACAGTATTTCATAAATATTTTGAAATTGCCATGCTTGGCAACCTGCAATTGCTTTAGTACCAAATTATAAAATGTCTTAGACTTCAAGGGGTCACCATATTCCTCACATGTATCACATGTTATATTAATATGCAGCAAGCAGCATTTACATTAGATATTAGAGAACGTTCTAATTATAGGGGCAGTTAAGCTCTGTAATAGGCTTCCAAAGGAATGCATAGAATCCCCATTATTGGAGGTTTTTAAGAAGGGGTTGGACAAATACACGTCAGACATGGTCTAAGTATAAAGAACAGGAGTACTTGTGGCACCTTAGAGACTAACAAATTTATTAGAGCATAAGCTTTCGTGGGCTACAGCCCACTTCATCGATATG